GAATCGCCCGGCCATTATTTCCAGGATGTTTTCGCGATAATAAAGCCGTGCTGTACAGCAGGCTCGTTCGGACCCCCAGGATAACGGAAGTAGTCTGAATAGGGAGAGGAAAAGAGAAAGTCGTGGCGCCCTTCGTGTTCTTCCGCTCTCTTCACGGTTAACACCCTCGACTCGTACATACATATGAACGAGCCCAGGCAGGAAATACGCGACTACCGCGAATAAGCACTCGTAAAAATTGCAGCCGCGCTCTTCGTTTGCACCCAGTCCCTTTACGTTAAAAGATAACGCACGCACTATTGCGTATATACGTTCTACACTTTAACGTCGCCATGATATCACGATACACGATTAAAAAATGTTACGTGCATTCGATGAAGTCAGATTTTACGCATCACAACCGAGACATATAAGTCACAATATAAGAAATAAGTAGCTTATGCTCTGAGCAAATAAATTTTAATGAGAGGCACACCCGGAAATTTTTTCGGACGCAAAAAGACAAAATCAAAAAGATTGAAGGGAAAGAAAAGAAGAGGGAACTTTATTTTGCCGGAAAGATTATATTACTTATATAAATATAGATTAAATACTTACATGTCCTTATAAGCAATTTATTATATTTGTAAATACAGATTATATTTCTTCTAAATTCTTATAAAAAATATATTAGACCTATATATTAGACCTATAAGTATACATATGTATATTAATCTTAAATACGTTGAAGAAGTTATTTTCTTTCTTTTTAGAAAACATGAATACGAGAAATAATAAACTGTAAATAATTTCATAGAAACTCTTCCTGTGTTGAAAATTAAATGATAATAATATGTTATATCTATAAAGAGATGTATATCATATAGATTATTTTTTTTATGTTTATAAATATAAAGATTATATATTCCTTATAGATCCTAAATTAATTCGTTTTAATCTCCAGAAAGAGCCGCGAATATCGTAAAATAGATATTAACCGCTACAATTTACGATATGTTTCGCAAGCAGTTTTTATGCCGCGATTTCCTGGAAATAGTACTCCGCTGATTTTCGCGGCGAAAAAGATTTCCCGTCGGACAACCATCGCGAAGGTGTCACGTGAGAGCAATATTATGACGTCTCTATTCAACACCTTTTTTAAGAGATCGACCACCCTCGAGCTCTTCACGCTTCATGCTAATTTCATCGATCCGATGCCGGGCTTCTTCCTCTTTGCGCCGCGTTTCCAGCCCTCGTCGCGTGTCCGCCTTTGTGCGGGCCCGCGCATATACGGATGAAGGATAATATCTACGTTCCTTTTATGCTATTCGCGTATCACATCGCGCGACGCTGTATCCGTGCAAAAATGTGTTGGGAATCCCATTGTCAACCATGAGCCAATAAAACGTCGCGAGTCCTCGCTTCGCGTGTCTTTCATTATCCGTCCGATCCTTTCGGATGAAACGCCAACGTTTAAAGCAACACTGAATTAATTTCGACTAATAAATAGCTTCCAAAGCAGTGCGTTTGTTTCCAATTTTTATATTTTGAGGAATCAAGGTCCGTTTGAATTTAAATCGAGAGTCCGCTTTTATTGGCAGCCTCTCCATTCGTATATCTTTGAAGCGTTTCATAAAAGTCAGCTCTAAAAGCAAAAACAATCCGTCATTAAAATTTATGCAGAAGTGGGGCAACTTATATATATGTCTAGAAGAACTTTCCAGCACTTTCGAGATCAGTCTGAGGAGGAAGTGTCGCGGTATGGAAGTGCCTGGTAGTTTCGCAAAGCGCCTGCTTGGCACGCCACAAAAGCGGGCTCATTGTGGTGTCGATTTCCACGGCACAACGATCTCCACGAATAATGACGCGGGTGACACACGTCGTAAATATATCGCAACGATTGAGGCGCAGCCAGCACGATATTTGCGGTTTGACGTCAATCAAAAAACGGTCAAACAGCCCGGACACTCGATGTCACGCGAGGCGCCGATTGTCCCTTGACAGGCAGCCGTCGCTCGTTGGGTTTCTGGCTTTGTCGCCAAGTGCTTCTTTGTGCGCGACAACGACTTTTTTTCATTGTGAATCGGTTTTGACATCGGCCAACTTCACAGACGCGGCTTAAAATCATCGAGGTACCGGCTTGTCTAAAGATTGCGTGGATTTCCGCGCTCTGATAAGCACGTGATACAAGTACAATTTTATACCAATCTCAAAGAATCGCAATATCATCGAAATAAAAAATAACGACATAAAGTCAAGAAAAGCGACATCATGCTTTCTATTTTATGTACACTTTTTTATTTTGTATTTATGAAATAATCAGCCATACGCATAAAATAATACATTTTTTTTTAAGTCGGACGTAAATGAAGCATAATGAAATATATTTTCAATCTCGGCTCGTCATGTATCGGTCATCTATTCGATCCCCCCTTCCTAACGTCACGGAGTTGTTAATTTGCTGACGGAAGACATTTGAATCTTCGGAGGTACGTGAAGGCAGGATGTTTCGGACATCGGTAGATGTTGGCGACAAGACGAGGGGTGAGTGCCGGTGACGTCTCTTTCGCGTCAGCGGCGGAGAGACACGACGAGATCGTGCGGTTGTGGTGGTGATGGTGGCCGTCATGGGCGCCGAGGGGGATGACGCTCCGCTCCGGTGGTGGGTCCGAGATGTCAGCTCGTTTCAACGCTGTGGTACCCTGACATCGGGTCTAACAAACCCCGGGGAACGAATATCTCCTATGACCGATCCGGCATTCTGTCGCTCGGTACCGCCGTCGTCCGGTTTATTTCTCGCGTGTCTCGTCCCGCCTTTTGATCCGACGCGTGCAATAAAACGTAATCAAGATGCGACAGATAATCATGATTATCTACCGGGTGTTTCGGGCCCATTTACCTTTACTCCAATAACAGATTTACCGACTGATAGATTGCATTAAGCGCGAAAGAGGATCGGAATTTTATCGCTTACATCGAAATCCTGACGAGTGTTGAGTTCATACAAGTGACTAATTGCAGTTTGTTTTGTTTTAAGCGAGTCGCCAAGTATGGAACTAAAAAAAATTTGCTCAAGATTTGCAAAGAAAAATTAGGATTGTTGTTAAAGTTAAAGATTTATAATATAATCTTTATAATAATTTATCATATTTATTATGTTACGAATACGCTGCTCCCAAGAATTACGTTGCCGCATTTGTTTCTCAATCAAGTCTCATATTGAGAGACAGAACTTTCATGAACGCATTAATTCTCGATCTTAACGACGAACAAAGGAATTGAAAAATTCGTCGTTTTATACTATGTCCTTAATACAGCGTCGCTTGCCGCGACGTGCGTGGCATAATACAAAGAGTGTAAGGAAATAAATTGCGAAACTATCGGCAGCAAGAGGACTTGCCGCTTTAGTTTCGTGAGAATTCTTTTACGGCTCCGTCGGGATTTATACGAGCTGTAAGTGACAGAAGCGACGAACGCAGCCCGCGGAAGAAGACAAATAAAAGATGCGAAAATAAAAAGAGCGACCCTGTCTTTAGGAGATCGTAAATTCTTCGCGCGCCCGTATAGATATTTCATCGCGCTCACATTCGCGTATACACGCGCAAAATAGATCATTTCGTATAATGTCGCAAACAAAAAGCTCGACTTTTAACATTTTGTTTTCGTTTTGCGCGAGAGTACGATTAAATAAAAATTATCTCTAAACAAAAATCAAATAACACGAATGTGTGATAGAAAAACGTCTCTGAAAAATAATATTCGTGAATCTTCAACTTTTTAGTGCAAGTGGGAAAGATTAAGAAAGCAGATGAGAATTGAAGAGAAATTAAAGATAAGTACGTTCGAATATGTTTTAAAGGGATTAGAAATAAATTAGAAATAAATAAATTAATAATGTATGAAATCTTAATAACTTTTTATATAATGACGTAGAATCGTACGCAACGCGAAACTTGTTTCCCGTTGAAAACTTCATATCGCGCGAACGTGATACATTGTGACATTATCAGTATTGCGACGCCAACTTAAGAGTTAAGAGCGATCGCGTGAATTTCGGTATGCGTATCGAGCGTTAACCCGCACCGCGAACACGCGAGTGCTTACGTACTTACGTCGGCAGAAGCCAAGTCCCCTTGGAGTGGCGCGGAGACGGATATAATTGAAGGCGGAGGTAATTAACTCCCTCGTGCAATGCGCTACGCCGGCAGCCGCTCACCGCATCGTTTTAATTACCGCTCTCGTCGCATTTCATCGGGCAGAAGCGCCTTCCCGCTTTGCTCCCTCCTTCCCGGAGGATCTTCATCACTCTCCGCACACTTCGTGTTTATAATAAATCCGATACTATCGGGAAGAGCAGAGAGAGAGAGAAAGAAACTCTCTTGAACCATCGTTCGGTGATCCTCCAAAGATCATCTTTAGAAAAGAAATCTCTCCACGCGTTTCTTTTCTTCTCTTCTTTTCGCTGTCTAAAATTTTAAGACGGAAGAAAGAAAGAGAATGTATAAACTTAAAACGAAAGTAAAAATGCGATTAGAGAATTACATTGTAGAAGCACAAGCAAACAGCTAAACTTTATATTGTGTTTATTTCCGACTAACCTGTCTTTATTGAAGTTTTAATTTGAATGTTATTATATTCTCTTCTTTCGTAAATCTACATGATTTTATTTGATTATTGCTATCATTATTATGATAGAATATCTCAATTTCTTCGTATTTGTTAGTAAATAAAAAATGTTATTTGTGCGTATTTTTGCTGTAAAAAGTATCAAAACGCAAGATGTATCCTAAGGCCTGTTTGTTTTCGTTGCACTTTTCAACTAGTGTAACATATAGTGCAATAAGTTAGAATGAAACAAATATATTTTCTTTTATTCTAATTTATTGCACTAGTTCAGAAGTGCAGCGGAAACGAACAGACCTATAGATCAAAGAGTTATTAAACGCGCAGAGTTTACCTGATTATACTAGTAACACGATTAGCCTGTTTTGTACATCGGCGAATGTGTGTTTGGATTGCAGGTGTCCTCGATCAACAGGGTACTAAGGAATCTGGCCGCGCAGAAAGAGCAGAGGCAGCAGCAGCAACAGCAGCAACAAGGGGTGGGCGCCGTGGGGGTTGGCGTCGGTGCTGGCAGTCCGGCGGAGAGCGTTTACGATAAACTCAGGCTACTAAACGGACAGACCACCGGCTGGCCACGACCCAATCCCTGGTAAAACTAACGCTCATCGACAGATAAATTACAAGCTCGTTAAAACTGTATTATGCAAAGCACGTGTTCTTTAATCGATGACAAGAATTTTTCAATTTATTTTCAATTTTTCGTTTACAAGACTTAACTTTACGACTTACAAGAGAAATAATTGATTACATAATGAATAAGGACCACTTTTATAATGAAGTGGAATAAAATTTTAAAATTTTCCATTCAAAAAGAATTTTTTAATAGATTCAAGTGTTTTTCTTCTTTAAAAGAATTTTTGCAATAGAATCTTATTTGTAGCATGCGCGTATATTTACTGAGAGCAGTCGTTGTCTTAGGTATCCGTCAAGCGCGGGAAGCCCGTTTTCGTCGATACAATCTAGTTTGAGTCCGAGCCATTGTTCGTCCCTGCCACCGGATCCGGCGGATATATTGCACGCGAAGAAAGGTAAGTCCACATCTGAATAATTATTATACGACATGCTTTCCAGTGCAGAATTTTTTTGCACTTGATCTGTCGATGATGCGACTGCTACGAAGAAATGACATTCAGAAATATTCAATCGAATTAGGATACAGTTTGTTAAAGATATCTTTGGCCAGTACTTTTGGCCAAGGCTACATTTAGCCGAGCAAGGGCTTTGCTCGCATGCACGACGAAAGCCTTCGACAATTGTTGGCGCACGATATTCTGTTAAAGCGCTAGCGTGAAACGCAAATACGTGTGCGGGATGAGTGACCACAGGCGGCAGGCGGGCGAGGTGCGTTTTAATTAATTAATCTGTCGGGCCAAACGATACTAATATCAATGTAATTCCGTCGGTGGGTCCCGCGGTTTGCCGCACGCGTGTGTGCTACGCTTTTCCGGTAATAATTTTCCGGTAACGTTTAAGCGCAGCCTTCGAAGCGTGGAGGAACAGAGAAACGCGAAGCAAAACGGTACATACGAGAGAGAGAGAGAGAGAGAGGACTGGGGGGGGGGGGGGGGAGGGGGGTGCGCAGAAACATGGTTGCAGTCGACCGACCAACCCACGCGAAACTACTCCGCCACCGACGGCGTATTCCTCCCCCTCGCCCTCCTTCTCCCTTCTTGCCTCCTGCCCTGCGTGTTCTCTTTGGCGGCACATCAAACACATGCGATTTCTTTCCCCCGCATTTTCCCGCCATTGCCACTGCTATAGCCTCGTGACACAGGGTGCGTCAGGAGCAGCGAAGAACAGTCTCCCTCGATCTTTTTTTCTTTATCGCGACGTTCATCCCGTCGATCTTACCGATCGCGAGAAAACTTGCGATCCTGTTAACTTATATTGTATATAGAATTCAATGAGGTTTAAAATAGTTGTTCAAATTATTTCATGAAGCGACATGCGATTGAAGATTTCCAACAAAATGCGCATTGTATAATTATAATGCGTTTTATTTTTTTAGTAAAGTTCCTTGAACCAAGCTTAAATGATAAGCATTAATAAAAACAATCCAATGCATGTAAAGGTAATGATAACAATGTAAAGAATATTTTAAAATATCAAATAATTTACATCTTAATTTGCATATTAATTGGCCTTATGGGATAAAAATAACCTTATAAAAAATGATTGTAGAATTTGCAATAGGCTGTACTCTTTATTATATAGATCAATAATAGGTTATACATGAATCAATGACTGATTTTATCATCAATTACTTACACGCTATGTGTAGGATGTCTTGGGTTTTTTCGTAAAAAGTAGTATATAGTACATATTTTTATTCTCTATATATATAAAATTTTTTTCTTATTTCTGTTCATAGAATATACTAAAGTTTGTACGGAACAACCTGGGACACCTGTATAACTACACATAATCATACAAAACTAATTATTGCAACTGTATTAGACGCACACACAACTCTATAATCGAAAATATCCTTTTACGATTTGCCAACTGTATTAATAACGTTAATCCCGCGTAAAACTAACACATATTATCACGCAATGAGCGCAAGATCTTTGCAGTGCAGAACATTATTCCGTATTAGTTCGTGATACAGCATATTATTTCATATTCCGATCTTATAGAGGAGGATAGGAAGGGGGTACGCAATCAAATATGGTAACTGTTGCGAGCATTCAACCGCATGCGGGCCCCGGGGGCCGGATTATCGATGCGTTGCTGCGGGGGTAGCATCGTTTATAGGATAACCCGTGTCAGGAGGGTTGTTTCACCCCCGTCCTTTCTCCCCTTCGCCCTCTCGTCGTCGTCTCTCTTCGTCTTCCTGCCGACGCCTCTTCCTTTCCATCTCTCTCGCTCTCTCCTTCAAGATCTATCTCACCCCGCGTGTATCCTCCCTAAGTATCTCGACTGTTGTCGATGTATCGGTCGAAACGGAAGACCCAACGACGCCCCCGGCCAATCACGCGGCAGCCATCCCCCGTTCCTCGGAAAAGCAAAGCGAAAGCAGATTACGGCGCAATCATCGCGCGAGCTGCAGGCGCCGCTCGTTTCCCCTCGTCCTCCCGGCGAGGGAGATTTTTCGATCTGGCCTGCTTCATACAGCACATCTTAATCTTTGGAATCTACATTATAATTTCTATTTTCTTTAAAAATTTCACGTGATATTAAAACTATTATTTCTTTCTTGAACCATATATACTGTGGAACATGTACACGTATACATTATCTGTGGATCGATTGTTCTATAGTGATTGGTATTTTTTTCAAGATAATGATGAATAGATTTTAAATGCTTATTAATAAAATGAAGGAAACTCATAGAAGGGATGATATCGATAGTGTCGAGAATAAAAATCATTGATGCAACTTTTGTTTTTAATAGAGATCATTTTAATAAAATAGCTAAAACGCATATTAAAGCTAACCCTTCGTTGTCGCATCGTTCTAAGAACTCTCTTACGTACATGCGCTCTTCAAAGGGAGTTATTTAGGTCTTCAGCTGTTCTCCCGATAATGTCGATACTTTTATAACGCCAAAGGGAGAGAAGAACGCACTTTCTTCGCACTTTCTATAAAGAATTGATGTTAAAAGACCCAACAAGCAAGGGCACAGACACACTTTTTAATTTTTTGCGCTTTTGTCGAAGAGCGTCGTTGCTACTTTCATTTCCTTCTCAGCGAGAAAGATATGGAAAATAGTTCAACAGAATAAATTTTCCTTGAAATAATTATAATAGTCTAAGAAAAAAAAGTTGTAGTTGCTTTGAAAGTGAGGGTAATTCTGCCGCTCTTGCAAACTCTTTTTAACATCATTTAGTTGTGCAAGCAGAATTATACGGCACAAGCTAACAAAGAATACATCATTACAATATATTTTGTTTTCACTTCTGCGATTTATTTGTAGAACATTTTCAAAAATCTTTAAAATTATTTTTAATCAAAGGTGACTTCTAAGAATCAAATGTAATTAGGATAGCCGAAACAAGTAATCAAAAACCGTTTTGAATTTCCACTTAAATTTTTGAAAAATATGGTTCCTTTTTTTACAAAGCATCTACAATCTTCACAAGGATATGTTTTATTTCTGTAATGGATCGCGTCTTGTCTCCCACATTTCCAATAATATCGAGCGATCGAACGTGCGGGATCGGTGCGCTGGTAATCCTCGGGACATTGTTCAAGAAACATTCTCCGAAATGCAGTTAGTTTATTTTAGATATCATCGCGCACAGCCCTCGTCGTATAGTCGAGACGTCGTCGGGTTGTCTAGTGAATCTGATTCACAATGCATCCCGGAGTTGCATTGTACGGCGTTGCGCGAGCCCAGACGACGTAGAGGCATGCAGAAGAATTTTCACCAGAGGGTGGCAAGAAGGGAACAAGCAGGCGGGAGAGAAAGGGAGATAAAGAAAGGGAAAAGAGAAGACAGAAGACCGGCGAGATAAAGAGAGAAAGGAGATGAGAGAGCGCGCGGAAAGGGTCTCCATCGTGATCGAGGCGAAAGGGGGTTCGGGTCGTTGCAGCATTGTTTTTTCACCTCCAAACCCCGCATGGGCGTCACTGCGGGAGAAACGCGGGATCTCGAATACCTTTCTATGACTTCAATATTGCTGATACGCGTGCTATATACGCAACAACGTGAATGCATTAGATATTGGCATTATCGACGATGAAAGGACAATGTGATCGCCGGCATATTATTTTTGCCAATAAAATGATGAAATTCCGTATTACGTGAAGATTGCGTGTTAAATTCTTTCGATGTAACGTACATACAAATGAAATTGATATAAAGCGAAAAGAATTTAGTCGCGCGTCGCGCGTTACGAAAATTCCAATTGCCGATTTTATCGTAGTCAATGATTTTTTATCATTTTCCGGTCCTCGTCCGAGTCTTGATCTTAAAATAGCCCTTCTAATCACACTAATCCCGTTCTGGTTCCGTTCGCAGTTCCGAAATACGAGCAGTCAGTCGTAGGATTAAAGGCATGCAGGGTTCAAATGCGAAGACGATTTTGGGTCTGGATTTAATGGCACCTCACACATTCAATCTCCCTGAGTCGCGAAAGGCGGGTTAACGCGCTTTTATCACTGGCATCCCTGTCGTACTCGTTCAATCAGCACGAGCCTCCCTAGAGCGAGAGTCTCTTCTTCCGGGGTTCTCTTTCTGTTCGTCGAAGGCGCGCGCGTATTCAAGCCTTCCGCGGCATATTCGCCGATCTCCGCTCGAGATACAGAGGTAAAACAATATAATGGCTGCCTGCTGCGCCCGGTACCACGGGATCGAGGGTGCACCGAAGGCATTATTGTCAACCTTCTTTATCTCGCGAGCCCGATCTCTCGCTCTCCATCAGTCATCCCTTTCGCTCCTTCTTTTTTCCGCGTTTCCTGCGTTTTTCTTTGTCGAATTTTCTCCCGGGTTAGATACGCACCACCGCAAAACGATGCGACAGCTTTTATCACCTACCGGTACAATGCGATCTCTGGTTACCTCCGTTCTGGTTGTTGCTGTTGTTGTTACTGTCGTTCTGCCACTGATTCTTCCAGCTCTCCGAGCTACGCCAACGCAGCTCTTTATCATCGTTTTTTGATTCGCATTAATAATGTGAGTTTTTCCTATATATATAAAAACTGTATATGTACATTAATCTTTTAACCTTCTGACGCTTTGAAATGTACCGACTGAATCAAAATAAACAATTGTTATCTATAATACGACAGTGCAGAAAAAATAAAATCCAAATAAAATTATTAAATTAAAAAAGCTTACATAAAATCCAAATAAAATTATTAAATTAAAAAAGCTTACAAAAAAAATTAAAAAAATAATCACACGATTAGCATTCTAATTTAAAAGAATAAATAGAATGGGCCAGCTACGAATCTCTGTCAAACGTCATTTACGTCAAAATCGATATTTGTTTCTCAAAGAAAATCTTTAGAATAGATAACGTGTCGACGACAGAGATTCCACGCGCGTAAAAGTCGCATTTAGCATCAAAGCATAATGCTT